CCCCAGCCAGCCATGCTGGCTGGGGAATTTTGGGAGTGGAAGTCCACACATTTTTAAAGTGACCAAGTTTGAAAAAAAACACTGACCTACACTAATAGTTTGGCGGAATGTTCAGGCATGCATCTAGTTAGAACCAATGGGGACTGCAGCATAATGTTGCAGATCACAGCGTAGCCAATCAGGATTCTGGTAACTCCATCCCTGATCCCCCTCAGAGTTTCCCGCCTCCCCCCAGCAAAGATCAAGCAGTGTTCTGTGCCTATTGAGCACGCCCAAGCAGCGTTCATTGGCCTGTTCTAGACTCCCTCCTACATACATATTTTGTACTTCTTTTGAGTGGGCAGTCCTGTTCGAGTTACCCAAGCAACACTTTTCCCAGCAAATATCAGCAATAGAGGGAAGTCTAACATCATCAAAAAAGATATTTGCTCTGACACAGATTTCCTTCATTCCCACTCCAAAAAATATAGCCTAAACGAGGAATTGCTGCTTACAGTGTGAACATTCATCCCATTTTCGTCCCCAGAAAACAGGTTTTGAAAGCTTTTGTACTGCTTCAGAAACCAGCAAAGCCTGCGCGCCCAGAAGGAAATTTTCCGGACAAAGAAGATATGTGTACAGCCCAGGAGAAGGGAAACCTCCCTGAAACCACCTCCAGCTCTTGTTTTAAAAAATGTTTATCATGGACTTTTATTGAACAAGCACACTGAGCTGACAAACCACAATTTTTAAAAAAGCAACAGTGTTGGCGTTATTAAGTATTCATTACTCGCATATACCCTTAAAAGCAGAAAAGAGGACTAGGTTTGCCTTGAACTACACTTGATCTTAGCCAAAAGGCCGAGAAGCCTTTTAACAGTATGCAAATCCTATAAGGGCCAGGATGCACATTTTTACGAAAGGTCCTGTATCCCCATAAACTCTATTCAAATCGACATTTTGATTTCAGCGAAGATTCAGAGAGTAGTAGAAGGCTGCTTAACACTGGTGCACCTAGAAATGATATTTTTATCTACTAAACACATTACTTTAAGCTTTCACGCAGAAAGAAATCCTCAAACTAATTAGTAAAGTTAAAAAAAACAATTTTATATATAATTATACGTAACTAAGCAACAACATCAAAATGAATCCCAGAATTTTAAGATGTGTAGACTTCAACTCTCAGCATGCTGGCTGGGGAATTCTGGGAGTTGAAGTCCACGCATCTTAAAGTTGCCAAGTCTGAAAAACACTGAACTAAATAAAACCTAGATTAAAAATAACCACTAGCCATAATGTATCAGTGAAACATGGCAAGGCTTACTTGTTTAGGGAGAGGGTTCCAGACATAGAGAGCCACCCCTGGAAAGCCCTTTGTGGCTCAGAAAGCAGCCTCCCCCAAGAGAAATTTCAGACAAATGCAACTTTCAGATGCTGCTGATTTATAGCACTATTCACACACCCTTGAGTCAGCCCAAAACTATACCAGAGTGAGATTTGCTGTCCCCATTGTTGATCCCAGCCCTGGTTTTGTTTCAAGTCCCTGCAGTCATTGGAATTCCTTCCAGCATAGTGAGTAACAAAATCTAACAAATTTTACATTACCTGAGGCTGACCTTGGACAGTGTTGAAGGGGGGAGGGTGGAATACTTATTTAATATGAGTAGAGCTAACTGTCGCTTAAGCCTCACTCACACATGAGCTGGCAGTGAGATGAAGGCCATATCATGGGGACGAGACAAAAAAAGATGTTGCCAGGCCATGTTTGTGCTGCATTTAGGGGAAAGTGAGGAAAGGTCTTACATCCACGAAACCATTTATGATGGGTAAAAACATAAACCTTTGCACCCCTTAAACAGCAGAAGAATCTATTTCCGCAGGTGCACAACATTGCTCCACAGGAAGGTGAGACAGAGCCTTGCTTTGGGCAGCACCAGCTCTGTTGTGAAACAGCGATCGCACACCCATCCAGAAGCTGAGAGGATCTCTCAGAGAACAGTCATAACCTGAGCAGTCCCTCGGGAAGAGCTGACTGGCTGACAATATTCTGTCTGGTTCCTTTGCTGCCTTCCAAGGGACAAACAACTAGAAGACCAAGCAAGTTCCCCCGTCTGATATATCACCTAGTAGGTTTATAGCTTCCCTATATCTGGAAAAAGAATCCACATTTGTAACACTTCCCAGCTTTAGAATTCCCCCATCCCACCCCCCCAAAACTTACAGATTCAACCATTTTACTTGAATTTCTTCTTTGTCCAAAGACATTTTTAAGTGCCTCTGGCTAAGAGTTCATCTGTGGCATTCGTCTGTCTCAAGCTATCTCTTTAAGTGGCTCAGCCATCTGTAAAAGAGGTAGCTGAGTGGGAGGGACTTTTGACAGCACTGAGTCCTGGAAGACTTCCATGTCTTTCCAAACTATATCTCACCTCACCCAGACCTTCAGTGGCAACCTCCCCTCTTCTCAAACTCATCTGTCCACCCTTATTTAAGTCCTACCTTATTAAAGCAGAATGCAACGTCTCCTGGGAAGTGATTCTAACACACCTAAATGCTGCAGTTATTATCCACTTACTACCTTGTACACACAGAATCTGCTATGAAATGTTGATGTCAATATGTCAATACTCCAATGACTCCATTTCCATCTGTCCTTGTTACCTAACACCTCTGGCAATGCCCATGTTCCTTTCTTTCAGCAATCAGTCCATATTTTATAACCACTATGCATGCTCGGTTTCAGTTCTCACTCAGCTGATTGGAGGTTTCCCTCTCCCCCATTTAAAGTTGTTCTCCTAAGGTGAGTTTTTTTTGGGGGGGGGTGTACATCTGAGTTTCCCCAAATTTGCTGATTCTATCTCGTCCACCACCTAAATAATGGCATCCACAGTCAAACACTGGAAATGATCAACTACCATAGTATTTCAATTGGATATAAACAGACTATTCCGTTTAGTATAATGGCTACTTATTTTGTCTTTCTACTGTTCCAAGAAAGCAATCTCTTTCCCGAAAGATCAAAGTATAAAACCCATGGTGCAACAATTAGATTATCAAAGGAGCAGAGATTTAAAATGAGGCAGGGAGTCAACATTTTTGATCATTTTTATGTGTGTGTGTGTGTATCCTTCTTCCTGATGTTGCTATCACATCAGGAAGGAGCATGAGAAGCTGGAGAGGTACCGGGGCCTGAAGGAAGAACTAGAGAGGATGGGGAAAGTAACGGCTAAAGTGGTCCCAGTGGTGGTAGAAGCACTCGGGGCTGTGACTCCTAAGCTGGGAGATGGGAATGGCTCCAACAGACCCCAGGAACAACATCAGAGCTCTCTTTGCAGAAGAGTGCAGTGCTAGGAACAGCTAAGATACTGTGCAGAGCCCTCAAACTCCCAGGCCTCTGGTAGAGGAGATTAAGGAAGACACATACCACTCATAGGGATGA